GGTTTTATAAAAGGATGCAAAAAGATTATTGGTGTTGATGGATGCTTTTTAAAAGATCAATTGAAAGGGGAGTTTCTAGTTGCAATGGAGAGAGATTCTAATAATCAAATATATCCTATATGTTGGCAAGTGGTGACATGGGAGAATTATAAAACATGGAAATGGTTTCGTAATTTTTAATGGATGATCCGCACATCCAACTTTACAATGGTGATGGTTGGATATTCATTTCGGACCAATAAAAGGTCATAATCAAACTTGTTATATTTTTTAATTGTTTGATTTTAAAATGATTCTTATGTTATAGTATATTTCATTTATCGATAATTTTATTGTTTATTAAAGGATTTATAAAAGCAATTACCGAGTTAATGCCCTATGTTAAACATAGATAGTGTGCTAGGCATATTTTTACAAATTGAAGAAATACACATAAAAGAGAATAGCTACATGCTTAGTTATAGAAAATGTTACAAGGCAACAATCAAAAAAGTGTTTGATCAATAACTAAAAGAGTTGAGAGAAATGAAAAAAGAAGCTCGAAAGATTTTAAGAGGGTTCCAATTGAGAAATGGTGCAAGGAATTTTTCAACACTCGTGTAAAGGATGATGTTATGGATAACATGTGTGTGACCTTCAATGGCATCATAGTGCAATCAAGGTATAAAAATAATATTTCTTTGTTAGAGGATATTAGATTACTTGTTATGAAAAGGGTAGTTAGTAGAAGGAATTTTGGAGAAAAGATGTTTGAGAGAATTTGGTTCAAAAATATGGAAAAATTTGAGTTAAACAAAGAATTGAGAGATAATTTTGAGGTTGAATGGAATGGTGAACGTGGCTTTGAATTGTTTACAAGGGAAAATACTGATGATAAGTGTATTATTAATGTTAAAAATTGTAGTTGCACTAGCGTGAAAATAAGATTTGACTAGGATCCCATGTGAACATGCTATGCATATTTTTTTATTCAAAAAAATTATCATATAAGATCGTGTAAATGAAAGTTATTAGTTGAAATTTTTCTTAAAATCATACAAGTATCCTATAAAACCAACTAATAAGGTGATGTATAGAATAAAGATCAACAAAGCTGCAATTCTTCAACCTAAGATTGACATATTACCGGAAAAAAGAAAAGAAAAAAGGACTTGTAACTTTAAGAAGGAGAGCAAGGTTGTAAAGCTGTCTAAAAAATATAAAAGAATGACATGTAAGGTATATCACAAAAGGGGACATTATAGTCTAGCATGTTTTGAAAATCCAAAAAAGAAAGGTTAGTTAATCTAACTTTATTTATTTTTCTAAACTATAATTATGTTATGTATACATTCAATGAGTCATGTTTTTTATACTTTTAGGCTCAAGCAACTACACCTCCTAAAACAAATGAATGGATCATACACTTGCGTAAAGATAATTATTTAAAAAGATAAAGTGAGATCCAAAGTTATTTTGTAATTTTATAAACTATGTTTAATTTGTTAACTTATTATTTTTTTATACTCGTCATGCCAAACAAAAGGATGGTCAAGGAAACGATATTGGTCAAGGTTGCTCTTTCTAGATTAACAACACTTAAAGAAGCTTAGTTATTATCTAGAATAATACTCACTCAAGTTCTGTTATTATTCATGAGATAAAAAATGCTGAATAAAAAAAAGTAAATGAAAAGGCTAGTGGTTTAAGATCTCGTTAGGAGTAAAGGAAAGAAGATGAGAACTAGATTGGGATCTGAGTCTATTTAAGAAATAAATTCTCAATCATCAACTTTAGTTCCAGCTAGTGGTTCAAGATCTACTAGAGGTAGAGGAAGGAAGAGCATGATTGGATTAGGATTTGAGTCTATTCATGAAATAGATTTCCAATCACCAACTTTAGTTTCGGCCGGTGGTTCAAGATCTATCGGACACGGAGGAAGAAAAAGGAGAATTGGATTTGGATATGACTCTATTCATAAAATAGATTCTCAATTACCAACTTTAATTCTAGCCAGTAGTTCAAGATCTGCTAGATGTAGAGGAATGAGGAGGAGAACTGGATTGAAATCGAGTTTTTTCAAGAAACAGATTCTCAATCACCAACTATAACTTGAGATAGTACTTCAAATTCTATCGGAGATAAGGGAAGGAGTTCTAAAAGGAAGGTTATTGGACATGACCTTTATGTTGAACAAGAAACCGGTTTATATATATATATATATATATATGGAATGTAAGTTTTGGTTTTATTTTCCTTTTCTTTATTGGAAATGTTCTAAAAAGCAAGGAATTATTTTTTATTTCATTTTTTCAGCCTGGAAATTATGGTGAGAAAGTCATCTTTTTTCCTTAAAGGTCAAAAAAGAAATGATGGAATTTATGATATAGTCGAAGGTCATTGGTTGTTTTGATGTTGGTCTTTATGGATATGACGAAGATGAAGATTGTGTTTGGCATGGAGTCTTCAAGATCTACGAATATAGAGTTGAAGATATTTAGTTTTAGTTTATTATTTTGTTATTTACATAGGATTTTAGATTGGTTTATGCTATTTTACAAATAAGTGTAATGTTATAAGTGTTACTTTTTTTTTTAATTTATGTTAACATTAGGATGATGTTATGTTACCAGCTACACTTTTATCTTTAATCTAGTATTTCTATTTAATTTTGGTTTTTAATTAAGGTTTTGAATCTTCTAGACAAATTTCATGAAGGTTTGTGTTGGGTATAAGTTGTGGAGAGATTTTCACCTTGAAACAAAAGTTAAGTATAAGTTCTAGATAAACTTTTGCTCAAATTTTCGCTAGCAAACACAAGTTTCTATATAAATTTTTGCTAGTAAACACAATTAAAATAACGAGTGAACACTTACATCTATGTTTTCAACTTTCATGCATGTAATAAATATGAAAGAATACAAACTTTGGCAACAATATCAGCAAGTAAATCATGGATAGTTTCAAAAAAATACTAGACTATATGTAATCAATACAAATAAATAGTTTCAAATAAATAAGGTAACAAAATTCTCATGTAACAAATTCACCTTTTGATTAAAATCGAAGTTGCAATTGTAACGACTAAAGCTAAGTTGCAGAAGAAATTATGTTTGTAATAACTACCTCCGACATTACATCTCTCGCCATCGTAGCTAATCACAAATCAACAACATAGCAATAAACATTAGGCATAACTCGATTTCCTAATTTGTATCTAAACATAACCAAATGTATGCAATCTCTACTTTCTTTTAGTTTTGTTTGAAACATTCACCTCTTCTAAGCACATAGTTCTTTTTAGCTCTAAGTGTTATAATTTTCATAACTAGTCATTCCTTTTTAGAATACCAATTCATTTTCAATTCTTGATTATCATCTTTTAATTATGCAATTTCACCATCAAATCAGTGGTTCTTTCTCATCAACTATCAATTTTCACCAAACAATTGTATTTGTCTTTCTCTTATGCTTAAAATCACATCCCTCGCTCTATCCAATATAAATCGTTCACATCATTGATAGAAATCACATCCAACATCCTTCCTCTAATTATTTGTAGCACAAACTAGACAAGTATAAAAACTTTACGACTTGGTGAATATCACTCCATGATGTCCAACTTGGAACTCGTTCTCCACATTTACGGAATAGAGGACTTCCCTTCATAATCATACTGTGGTCTTTGGGGTGTTGTAGCACGGATTGGAATAATTCTTTCAATTCTTAACTCTTTGGACAAAATTGGAGAATCCATTTTCGTATGGTATTTCAAAACGACGGTGTTAATTGTAAGTCACATAAATGAATAACATAAAATTAAATTAAAATAAATTATTAACATAATTGTGACTAAAGGAACGAATCGAACCTAAGAAGACAGGAATTGTATTTTGAGTGTCAAAGAACGCAAAGAGAAGAGAAGTAAAACGATATTAATAGAAAAATAAACAAAAGGGTGCATGTTTAGGACTAAAAGAAGAAGAGATGCTTCGATTGATCGGCCATAATTGAAGAGATCAATGTTTAACTTTCTTTCAATCGATCAATCATACTTGAAGATATAAGACAAATTAGGGTTAGTTAAGTCGGATTTTAAGTATGAGAGAAGGGGTTGGAGAAAGATTTAGGGATTCTAGGTTTGTTTCTTTGATAAACCACCAACAATTTTTCTACCGATTTTAAGCATTAGAAAGTTAGGTTAGATTTAGGGATTTAGGGAAAATTTGTTTCTAGGGAACATAGAGGTGAAGGTAAAGGTTTTTTAAGTAGAGGCAATTTAGGGTTTTTCTATTTTCATTTCATTTATTTCTTTACAGGATCGAGAGAAAAAAAATTAATATCACATGTCATATTATGTTATTCTTAAGAGAAAAATTATCTTTGTTGCTTAAAAAAGTGATCCGGAGGGACCAAATGCAAATGCATAATATAATAGAGAGATATCTTGAACTTTTAACCCATACATTAATGGATATAATTGAATTGTTTGCTAAGGATATATGAATTATGTAGTTCAAAGAGCAATAAATGAATTCCTAATTTCTGCTCGAAGGCTCCAAGCTAGAAAGAAAATCCCGTCTGCTCACGGTAAAAGTCCTTGAAAAGTTAGTGCCGTGTGTTTAATGCTGCAACTAGCGTAAAATAATGGTCAGACAAGTGTCATTGCCTGATTAGCTCAAAAAAAAACAAAGACGGCCCTTTTTTGGCACATTTCGAGTACAAAGCTGTGTTGCTAATTTCCTTCCTTTTCTTGTGCGCTAGTGCAGGGAAGAATGTTGGTCGGTCTGATTTACACTAGAAAGCAAATTTAATGTCGGTTTTTCTCGTAAATACTTCTATATGTGCTGAATATCATACAAGCTTTGTTTATTGTTAGATTACATTTCAGGGAGAACCACTTGATCATCTTAACAAGGATCAGAACAATATGCTAAGTTATACACAGCTAAGCAGAATTTATCCCAAAGAAAAATGTCAGCTTGTGGGATTTTTCCTAAATATATAGTAAGAGTCTCTACTCAATCATGGGGTATTATTTGATGTATTGCCCTCTTCACCTCCACAATGCTTACCTTCTTTCCGTTAACATTCTCCTTCACCTGCCAATATAAACTTATGGAGTTAGTCAAGGCATATACCTGTTTTATTTCCATTTACAAAAAAAAAAAAAAAGAAAAGGGAAGAAGATAAATGGTGAAGGTGTTCTTGCATCGTAGAAATTAAAGATGCATGGCATACCTTGGCCCTCAGTTCCCCTACAAAGATCCCATTGTTCATAGAAGACTGAACCGCAATAGTTTCTATCCTGAGCTCCCTTAGCATTTGCATTATGTCTAGTAAAAGCCCTTCTCTGTAACCACATTGCAATTCTAACAATGCGTCACTCTCTATTATCGACACCTCAACGCTGATCTCCGGCTCCACATAGACCATCGGCTCTGGCTGCTGAAGCGATGCCTCCACCGTTTTGGGCTTGGCACCGCCACCAGCACTATCCTCTACAATCCTCATCTTCCTTTTATCTGACCCAGGCCCTAGACTCCGAGCCCGATCCAAAACTGTGATCCCGCTCTTTTGCTCTTTCAAACTAGCGGAAATAGTGGTTCTCTGCGGTGGGTCCACCGATCTCGAACGTTGCTCCTTCTCCGTCTGTTGTTTATTACGTGCCTCCAGATCCTGAATTTTCAAACGTAGTTGCTTCACATATTCGATTGTGTCCCCTAATATTGATGCTTTGTCCATTTTGGTCACGAATGGCACTAGCGACCTTAATATTATAAACCTCTCGTTTAGCTTCTCCCTACGGCGTCGTTCTGCTAGTACGTGATTGGCACTTAGCTCGTCCTGTGGGGTCCTCCTGCGGACCTGATCGGCTGCATCGCCATCACGTGACCTTGGGGAATTTTCTTCGTGGTATTTGCTGTGGAGATATGGTACGCTGAATAGAATGTACTTAAGGAGCCACTGCGAAGTGGTCTCCACCGGCATGTGGAAGAGATGATCTGAGCGGTTTGTCCAATTGGCAAAAGCTGATTGGTTGGTGTATCCCCTGTGTGCAATGGAGGATAGCTCTGCTACCAGCGAAGTTGGTTGGCTTTGAAGGATGGTGGAAACTGTTAGGGAGTAGTGTGTGTCCTCTTGCGCCAAGTCTTCTAGCGGAGGTGGTCCTGCAAATATTTGAAAAGTCTTTTAAGAAATCAAAGGTGGTTGGTGAAGCATAATCCCTTTTTTTTTTTTTTGAACATAAAAGATACGCCAACTTATTTGTAAATCTAAATTAATTTTTTTAATGATTTTAAGAAGATACATTTCATATTTATTTAATGCATTCAAAAAATTTTAATAAATTTTGTGACCTCAAAATTTGAAGCCACAAAATCCATAATTATGTATAAAATCACAAACTCTATGTAAAAACATTTAATTTGAGTAAAATACATTTGAAATTTTAATAACGTAACGACTGAAATAGAAATTTTAATCAATATTTTATAGCTTTTCCGTATTAAAATCATTACCTTTTTCGTTTAATTAACTAAAATAGGAATACTTTTTCCACGTAAAGTTAATTATTAACTTAATTAACTAAAATAACAATTTTAATAACTTTTCCATATTAAAATTATTAAATTATTAATTACCTTTTTCCGTATAACTTACTTAATGTTCGATCTATATGTTAATTACCACCAATTACCAAAATAAAACATTTAGTAATAAATTATATTATCTTTTCTGTAATGTTCAAGTCAATCTCTCCCTCTTTTAATGTTCAATAGTTTTAGTTATTGCTATTTGTAAGAGCTTTTATCACACATGCATCGTAACTAATCATTAATTATTAAATATTAAAAGACAATTTAATTTTCTGTCTCTAATTTTTAGTTTAGCACATTTAAAATTAATTTTATATATTCCAAATATTTTAATTTAATGAATATTCAAATTAATTTATCTAGAAATAAATATTAAAAAATCTTTAAAAATGAAAAGAAAAAAATATAAAATAATAGAACAATTCACGTGCAAAGCACATGTCAAAAAAACTAGTGAAGTAAAAAGAAAAACAAAAAGGAATTAAAAGCTTGTAATTAAGTTAGACTTTTTGAAGGATCAATGAATGGTCAATAAAAACAGTGAATCTTGCATGGATTAGTTAGTTGGAACTTGAAAGTTCGCTGGTCGTGGCCTGCGCAAGAATATGTGTCTTAAATAGAGCACGTGTTTGAACTTTAAAGAAATGAGTGCGGTGGAAATGAAATGGGTTTGTTTGTCCTATTCGCCTAAAAGTAAAAACAATCCCAAAAAGCAGGACTTTTTCAGTCCTGGCAAATGGAAACTGAACCCCACCAATGAAATCTGCTTTCTTCAATACGTAGATTCAGAACCCTAGAAAAGGCAAACTGTAGGAGTGGGCCCAGTCCATTGACTAATTATAGGACCCACAGAGATAACGTAGGGGGCGAAGCTACTTTACTTACGAAAGAAAAGGGCACAATGGCCCCTCTCAATTTTTTCAAAAATAAACCAACATTTCTAGTGTAACCATCTTTTGCCCTCCATAAAATAATATGTTATTGCCTCCTTAGTGTTGAATTTATGAAAATTTAAGTGTTATTTTGATAAATCACAAAACATGATAAAAATTACAGGTTTTGTGAGTCCAAAAACACGATTTTTTCTTTCTTGTTAAAAGTTCACATGCATAACAATGTGCTATAACAATAGAAAAGCGGAATCAAAGAGACAACCTGGCTGAAATATTATTTCTATATCTACCATTTTACCCTTTACCCGCCTTCTCCACAAAATTTTCCTTTGACAAAATCAACAGTGGACCCATGAACAAGTGCATGCGCAAGCTTAATTATAAATTAGTTCCAAATTAAAGACTGGGCTTTTTCGAATTATTTTTCTTTCTTTCGAAAATCCTTGACTACATTTTTTCAAAGGAATATATATATATTTTTTTTGCCATGAAAAGAATGCATTGTTCAAAACAGTTTAAATGGGATGTTGGGACATTCAAGGATAGCGATTCTAATTAAATTATGAAATATATATTTTTTTTTGTGAAATAATAAATTTTGATGCCAAAACCTTGACTTTCTCCCAACGAACAACATCAATTAATTAGTGTAAACACCAGTGTCTTTAATTTGGAAAACGGACCCGACAGAACTGTAGTGTTATCATAAATGAGTGACTGGCTCATGACTACGGTGGTCCAAAACCCTAACTGTCAGAATTTTGGAACCCAATTTACGATCATCTCTCCTAGCAAGAATTGACGGATGCAATTGATGTATGTACGCACTATAATTCATTTTCTTCTCTTCTTTGAAAGAAGGAGAAGGAGGAGGGAAAATAAAAAAACAAACCTGAAATTGATGGTTGAAGGTTACCACTGAAAGGGTTGTCTTGCAACACTGTCGTCCACCTCCGAACGGACTCCGCTCTAAACGAGTCACCTCGGCTCTGGTGATCCATCAAGTTGTCTGGGCCAATCAAAGGAAAATCTGATTCCAAATTAGTAGACCCATCATCAGGAGAACCAAGCCTGATGTCCTCAGACATCTCAAGTTGCATTAACTCGCTCGGCTCAGCCGCTGCAACTTGATGAGGGTTTTGAGACTGAATCGGTTCTAAGAGAGCATCGCGACTGGTTTCGGCTTCTGAATCTGATTCATGTTCCTCTTCATCAACATCATCTTCTTCTTCGTCCTCGTCAATGTGTCCGCCATTGACGGGGGGTCTGCAGCCACGTAGTAGGGAGGGATGGGTAAGGAATGGAAGCGAGGTTGGTCTGAGGAGGTGGGAGGGTTGGAAGTGGAGTGCTCGGATAAAGCTGGTTTTGGCGGAGGAAGGTGGTGGTGATTGTCACTGAAGAAGGTTTTTACGTGTTGGATAAACCCAAGGTCCTCTTGAACCTACAGATATTAATGCTACCAATTGATATATGAAATTTGAAGCTCTAATATATATCGATCACATACTATAAGAATATACATTGAAGAAAAATATACTAGTATAATTTGTTCACCTTGTCGGTTGTGCCAAATTCAACCACACCATCAAGAAGAGGAATGCATACCACAGTCTGCATCAATAGACACGTATTAACATGGCAAAACATGGAAAGAAGAAAGACCAAAAAAAAAAAAAAGTACGTAGTAAATTATGTAAATGGGTAAGTAGATTTACCTGTACACGAGCACTCTAGTGGTACAAAATTATGATCGATCGGGAGGTTCGTGATCATTAGAAATAAGAGAGAAGATATTTAGTATTCATTTTGTAGTGTAAAACAAAAAAATTGTAATTTGAAATTTAAAATGAAACGATGAAAAGAAAAACATGATCGCCATTTATCAAAATTTTTGTTTTATTTTTTTAGTATTTATTTTCGAGTTTTTAATTACGTTAATTGTCTATCCAGACATAGGGGGATATTTAATTTAATAAGTTTGGCCAGCAGGTTAAATAATAGACTTAAGTTTAAGCCATTGAAGGCGTATCAAAAAAATGAAGTCGGGAGCAAATAACACCTTGGCAAGGATGGCTCTGGAGAAAGTTTTGCTATCCATCTCGTTTGCACCAGTAAGCCATACGTGTTGCCTCTTTGCGTAGGCCTTTCCTGCTAACCTGCACGTAAAATCAATACGCATGATATACCATTACTTCTTATGATTATACATGCATGAAAAAATATATTTGCAAGAAAGGGATTCCTAAGAGACAGTAAGAAATTGCTTCAATTAATTATATATATATAGGACATATTATTCGGTACAAGAGTGACAAACATAGCATGCTTCATTGCGGCACTTCATCAATTGCTGAGTATGTATTACTGAGCACAACAGTGCGTTGTGGACAGCAATTAATCAGTTATTTGATAACATATATATGTCCTAAAAGTTGTTACAGTAATGGAGTTCATCAACAAGAGGGATTGACATGAGAGTATGGGGAGAAATCATGCATGGAGGTAGTTCAAGTAAGAAGGAGAGTTGCCAAAAATATTCCCATTAATTTGATAAGGCCACTGGCTTTTTCTCTTATACTAATGCAGTTAGTGAAGGGCCCAGTTTTAAATCCCTCAATTTATTGCAAGTTTTAACCATCACCAGTTCTTTTGATAGAATATTGTCTCCATCAGGCTGTACCGTAGTTTTCAACCTTAACTTCAAACCATAAAATTTACCTAGTTGCACTTTCAAGAACATTTTTTACCAGAATCAAAGATGCTCTTCCTAGGAAAGGAGATGACATTAAAGTTCACTCACCTAATCGACATGCACACATGCTGTAAACTGCAAAAGTAACATCAACTTCCAACAGTACTGATCATATACATATATAAGATCACAAGTCAGCTTCTTCTCAGGAAAAATAAAATCGAAAGCAGGTTTCTTTTTATCGTCTGTTCTCCAATCTACATAAAGGATCCTAAGCACGTACTGTCAAAATAATTACTCCTCTATAATGTGTGTACTTGCATTTATGCTTTCTTCTCCTTTCGGCATTTACAGCCCTACAAAGGCCATCGGTTCTAATAATTCAGGGGAAGGTATTGGTGGTCTTGCTCATTATTTCTTCGCAGGCAAAAAATATTGATTGTATCCCACTAAAATAAATAGTTAACTTTCTTGAACTGACATATTTCATTTCTGTGGTACCAAAAGTTTTCTTGGAGCTAGAGAGAGTAGGTTCCACAAGTATATAACTACGCCTTACATCATGACAAGTAACATAAAACAACAAAAGAAGTCAATCAATCACCCACAACTATATGTATATTTCTACTTTTACTTGCAGACTTATTCAATGGGTTTCACTTCAATAGGAAAATTACGTTCATTTAAATCAAACAACTAAAAAAAAAAAAAAAAAAAAAAAAAAAAAAACCTTACCCAACACCAGGAGAGAAAGAGAAGGACACACACATCAGATAAAACCACTCAGTCTCCGTTAAGTCCTCCGGTGACAAGGCAGCGCAAGGCCGCCGTGCTGGCTGGTTGGTCTCTCCTATAGATAACGAATCATAGAGCTCTCTAAGCTGTTGACTCCTTTGCAAGGAGGCTTCTTCAGTACTAACCTCCATTGGTTGCACTGTTTTCCTAGTCTTGATTGGTCCATTGTAGTACCCATCTCCCCACACTAAGATCCTGAGCCACGGTACGTAGTAATTAATAATACTCACGAAATTCATCGATATTGACATTATAATTATTCTCCGGAACCTAGATTATAATACACACGAACATGAAATACTTTGAAGTTTTACTATCAGTCTATCGCACATAAAATATATAAAGGATGCTTTAATTTGATCATTTCTGGAAGAAATTTACCCTTGTTGTGGACACATTTGCCAAAAGAGACTGTAAGTCCATTGAACCGATTGCACTGCAGCCTGCAACATAGTCTGCAAGCGGCTACTAGGATGGGCAGCCATTCTGCAGCTGTATATTGATCACCACAAAAAGCCTTATCTCTTTCTAATACTACAGCTAGCTAACTCTCTATTCTAACAAAATCAATCAGATAAAAAAAAAAAAGGCCAAAAATGGAAAAAAGAGAAAAAAAATCACTTCGTTCCTTTTTCATACAAGAGTACTAAGGGGAAACAGAAAAGGAACTTGGTCATGATCGGAACCGAAAATCAAACCCTTGAATACCAACCAATTAAGGGCGAAAAGAAGTTGGAAAGTACTCTTTAAGCAGAGAAAGAGAAGAAGAAAAGAAGGTACAGTTGCAGAGAGCAGACTTGCAGGTGAGACAAGAGAGATGGACAGAAACAAACGAAAGAAAGAAAGGTAGATGTGCGCTTGACTTATAGGAGATTCTACCACTACTACTTCTACAATGATCAGTTTGCCCAACCTAAATTGCCCACCCGCCCACCAGACTTTATAAGATGATCATCAACCCACAAAAAGTTTTGAAGGGCCGTTAGCTACCTTTCTATATATATATATATTGATGAAGATAAAAATTCTATGGGGGGAGAAATTAAGGGAGCAGTAGTTAGGGTTTGTAAATGTATTTAAGTAATGATAGAAATAAAAGAAGGAAAGCGAAACACGTGAACTTTTTTTATGTTATAAGAGAAAGGTAAAATAGAAATGCTTTGAGATCTTGACTGGTTGTTCTACCAGACAGTTTCAAATCACTCTTTTTTCCTATATGTTATATCTGAAATGACATGGTGCATGCGCCGGATTTGTTAGTTGGTGTGATGGCGTGCGCGTGCGCGTTTGGTGTGGGATCATATCTAAGATGCTAAGGACTGGGCGTTGGGATTAGTAGAGGAATGGAATGGGAATTTCTCTAGAGAAAAGAGTTTGAATTGGATCCAAGTTACCAGAACGTTTGTACTTTATTTTATACTGTATAATAATATCAATTACTACATGTATGATTTCTTGAGAAAGGGTCATATGTCTTTGTGTTGCGTATCGTGAGTGTCATAAAATCTAGGATTTTAGGATATATAATGTTCGAATTGTCTAGCTCGTGTCAGTCGAGAATAAAATGGCAGATTTAAAATTAACGAGGATTCTAGTTTTGTTGTATTTTTATTTATCGTTTTTTATAAAATGGCGCTTGTGTATAGGAGTTATTAAAAAAACTAAAAGACATGAATATATCACTGTTCATTTGCTGTAGCGGTTTTTTTTTTTTTTTTTAAGAGCTGGCCAGCAAGTAAGCTCAGTTCGGCGCAGCAGCAGGCTCAGGCAGGCCTAGCCTGGTTCACAGGCCTGCACAGGCAGCCCAATTTGCCTCTTTTTTTTCAATTCAATAATTTATTTTTATATTTTTTATCATAAAATTAGGTGTGAAAAATATAAAAAAATATTATTTTTTGGGTTTTACATATAATTTGACGATAATTGAATATATATAATATTTTAAAAAAATTTAGTTTGAATATATATATATATATGTGTGTGTGATTATATTATTTTTATTATTTAAATTTTATTTTTTAATTCTTATTAATATTATCATCAAATTAATTTTTTATTTTTTTGATAAATTTTATTTTTTTATATATTGATTTTGAAATAAAATATAAGAACGTGATTGTTTTATTTTTTAAAATATATTATTGTAATTTATACAATTAATTATTATTATTATTATTATTTAAATGAGAATAGCTTGGTTGCATATATAAATTTTGATGAGAGGGAGAGAGAGCTAATAGTATGCTTTAGATAATTTGAATTAAAAAAAAATAATCACTTAAAAAAATAATTTAACTCAATTTTTTTTAAAAAAATTAATAATTAGTTAAAAATTCACAGTGTTTTATTTGATTTCTATATATATAATTAAAATTTATCGAAACTAATTTTGTAATATTTTTAATTTAAATTTATTCAGTTTGATATATTTCATGCGATTTCAATGGTTTTTTTTTTGTATAATTTTTAAAATCTAAGAAAATTTTTGTTGATTTATTAATACATTAATATTTGGATATGAGAAAAGTGTAACTTTTCATTTATGTATAAAATGTTGAGCAATTTAAATTTTAACATTGTTAGAAATATTCCATGGAAAAGGTCGTTTCAATGAAATTTCAAAATTCATTGTGAGTCAATAGATTTAATACTTACCTTCTTTTTTTTTTTTTAATTCCTTAATGCTAGAAGCAAATTTTTTTTAATTTAAAAAGCTATCAAGCCATAAGACTTTTGTATTTTAAAAATTATCTTGCCATCTTAAATCTAGAAATGAAATGTTGGATAGGATAATTTTGAAGTCACAATTATCCTTTCTTTAATATGTATAGCAGCAATTTTAAGGTTAAGATTTCAATGAATTTAGGAAAATAAACTTCTCTTTTAAAATTAGGAAATAAATGCTTCAAATTTTAAAATTTCAGTTATAAACATTGTTTTATATTATATGCATAATTTAACTTTATGAAGTGATTTTTTTTTCATATTGAGTAAATTAAAATAGATTAAATAATTTTTTTTTACAATATTATTATAAGAAGATATTGATTGAAATTAATTGTATTACATCTTTATTTTAACAAGAATTAACTAAAAAAATAAACTATTTTTTATAAGCTGGATCTGCAAGCAATGCATAGACCCACTTACTTACTAGGTACGATACATATGTAGTAGTTTTCTTATAAATTAATTATATATCCACACATAACACTAATTATTTGTTATTCATTTTTTTCATATTCTAAAATCTATATTTTTAAATAAAATAATTTAATTAATATTTTGAAAGAATTTCTTAATTATTCAAATATAAATTTTTATACTAATATTATAAATTATTTTGTTAATAAATATAAAACAATTTGGCTTAATATATAGATTCAATTTACATTAATCTCTAGAAATAAAACTTCTACTCGCATCACACCGTACGAATCATTAATCCCGCATATATAGTGATTGTTTCACCGCAAGTGTAACACGAGTATCTAACTAGTCATTCTTACACAATCTGTAGGGATTCTAAAGTATTTATAGGCATATATATATATATATATATATATATATATATATATATATATATATATATATATATATATTGTTTTAAGACTTTGAATTCACCCTTTTTTTTCTAGCCATTTGCCCCGATATATCTACTAAATCATAGTCCTTTTTTTTACAATAATTGTATATGAAATTATTGTTTAAATATACTATTTTGTATTTTTTTATTTAATTTTTTTATGATAATGTTGTTTAAATCTAATAGTACATATTAGAGTAATGATATTATATATAATTAATAATAGTAATATATAGTTTTCTTTTCTTTTCTTTTTTTAACCTATGAATTTCGGTACCACTTTTAACCACATCTATATCGAGAAAAAAATTAAATTATTTTTAAAAATAGAGTTAATTAAACATAAAATTGGCCCATTTTCAAAAAATCAATGTATAAAATTGATAACAAAATCCAGGTTTGATAAATATTCTCTTCACCGCATGAATCAGCCTTCTCGTGAACGACGCATTGTATTCAAATAGTTAGGCATGTCCGTACGGACAGTGAGGGTGACAAATCATGTTTATGGACATTTTGGGTTGCCTTTTTCCTTTTCTCTTCTCACAAGTAGGATCGTAGGGTGGTCCTACCTTGTATGAAGTCCGAACTAACAAATTATTGATATTTAATACTGTGATAAGGAAGTTGATTTTTAAATAAATTTTTCATTAACGTATAAATAAGTTTAAAACAATTAAATTTTATTATTTTTATTCTAAATAGAATTGATTATATCTTTAATGTGATATAAAAATATTCAGATAAAATTTAAAAAAAATTATATAATACTCATGCATTATTAACAGTGGTGTACATGTTAAAGTTTGCAAGACCCACTTACTAAGTTAGTGCACTATATATACTGGATTAGTGTCTATCCTAAAAAAAAAATGGGAGTAATTTTTAAACAATAAACAGTAGCGTCGAATTCCTGTACTCTACAACAAATATACATAGATTCTGATTGGAGGTTTGTGGAGAAACTAATCTCTGAGGTAAAGCGAACTTAACCAATATTTATGCATATGTTAACATAATTACATGTGGAGCCTGAGGACTAGCTAGCTTTGGGGCCAATTTTCATATCTCAGCCACTACCAGCAGAACAAAGGCAGCCGGCCTTTGACTTCAGGATCCAGTTAGGGTGGGTTTGGTAGTGTGGCAACACATAAGCTAACGCTAACGCTACTAGACAGACACTTAGACTGGCAGATTGGAACTAAGAGTCGTCTTTGAATTATGGAGATGGAAAATCAGCTACCTCCTTACCTGTGCATATTGGTCAATATATATATAATAGTTGCAATCTTTATGTCTATACATGTAATATTTCCTAAGTTATGTCCTTAGTGCTCTCTGTGCTACTTTTATTGTATTTTGTCCCCTCTACTGTCATTTTGATGACGTGGGAGTTACAATTTTATGGAGTATATCTCTATAAAAAAATCTTAATACCAAGATTTTCCGTTACTAGCTTGTTTTAGCGACAGAATTGTCATAAAATAAAATCATCATTAAAAGGATTGTTGCTATTTTTTTTAGCGACAGACTTTTGATTCTTTCGTTGACTCGTGATGGAATTTTTGTAGCTATTTGAAGTATTTTTGTTACTAATTCGATGTCAACAATCGTCTAATAAATATGGAATTTGTCACAAAATTGTTGGTAAGTTGTTCTTATTTTTGTCGTTATATAGAGATGAAAATCTGTCACAGAATTTAGATGCTAATGATGATCACAAATCTATAGCTATTTCAAATGTATTTTATTTCCGTCGCTAACAAAATGATTTATTTTTTAATTTTTATTCTTAGTTATTATTAATAAAGGAAAATTATTTTTTTTAAATTTCATCAATAATCATTTAATGTCAATTGTAGTAACAAACAATTAAAAATAAAATTATAGTACAAAATA